TTGAAAACTACCACCGTCTCCCCCACCCCCTCCAAATAGCCTCAAGATAAACCGATGGGCCAATTCTGGCAGTCAAGAGCTACACAGCCCAACGCGTATGATTTCGCATTATTTCCCGTCCTTCCACATTCCTAATGCTTCACCCCGTGGGGCGGAAGAACGCCTTGCCTGCAGGTAGAGACTACCACCTTAACGCGAAGATCCAGCCCCAGGGGGCTCTAAGATGCTACCCTGTTCAAACTCATAATCACCCCCAAAGAGTAACTTTGCTGTCCTTTGCATGGTCTGTTATTTAGTTATTGTGCATAGCAAAGGAGGGGCAGAATGCCGATATGTAACAGGTCCTAGCGTCCTTCAAAGTTCCAAAGGAAGATTCACTCCATTTCCCTTCCTTCTGATCTTGAAAAGAGGTGGAGTTGTTAAGGTCTGTAACGTCCTTGAACCTACAAGTTTCAGAACAGATACTAAAATACTAATTCAGAAGGACCCATTATAGTGGGCTCTTTTTTTAAAGAATCTGGCCAAAGTAGAAGTCTTAGCCAAATTAAAGACTAGAGCAGGGAACTTTAGGAAGACCCTGAGCTCTTCAAAGGAGCAAGGCAAAGCGTTGATGGGAAGAGGGGTTCAATTCCTTCCTAAGCCGCTTTGAACAGAAAGGCGTTTAGCCTTGACATTGCTGACATAGGATCAAAGATTGATTTATCAGAGTGACCATTTTTCAATAAAATGACTATTTCTGTTTCCATGGGCATATAAACATTATTTATTGCCCAGGCTTTTTGTCACACTGTCTCTCAGCTGTCACTTAAATATATTTTTTGGAAGTCACAGCTGTAACGATTTTATGATCATATAAAATAATGAAAATACAAGAAAAAGACATTCTCCTTGTTTGATCGCTTCAAAAGACACCTATGGCAGCTTGGGTTATATAAAAAGGTACCTTTCTAAACATTTCACAACTAATAGAGAACATCTGGGTAGAGATGATGATGTAATTTTTTGTTAAAGTTTCTTTTCAAAAGTACTTTATGGAGCTATAACACTGTTTGATTCTTCCAAACATTTAGTGTCCTTAATAACAATAGAAAGAATTTTTTCCAAAGGTTCTCTATAAAAGCCAAAAAGAGCTGGAAAAAATGGAAATATTTAAAGGATTCTTTGGTAAGGAAAGAAGGGCATGTCTGTGAGGAGAGTGGAACATCAGATACCAGCAGGTGTTGATTAGACAGATACAGACAGTTTCTAAAGACACTTAAACGTTAGGTCAGATAAATGGGAGCAAGCTGCTTCTAAAAGTTGACTCCAGGGGTACCTGGGTGGCTCAGTCGGTTAAGCGTCTGGCTTTGGCTCAGGTCATGATCGCGCGGTTCCTGACTTCAAGTCCCGCATCAGGCTCTGTGCTGACAGCTCGGAGCCTGGAGCCTGCTTCAGATTCTGTGTCTCCCTCTCTCTCTGCCCTCCCATGTTCACGCTCTGTCTCGCTCTGTCTCTCTCTCTCTCAAAAATAAACATTAAAAAATAAATAAATAAAAAATAAGTTAAAAAAAAAAAGTCGACTTCCCCAAAGGGAACCTCAGACATATTGGGTCACTGAGATCAGAGCCTTCTTGGGAAAAGCCTTTGAAGGGTTCTCCCCAAAACGCACTGCCCCTCCCCTTCACTCCATTCTCTGACTGCAGACCTTGACTCTTCTACCCTGGCCAGATCACCATCAGGTGGCCCTGGCTTCATGTCTAAGACACACAGTCATTGCTCTGTTTTGGGGGCGGATTCTACCAGATCACTCTCCACGCCTGCTGTGTCCCTTCTTGCTTTCTGATATCCCCAAAAGGATAAGGAATTCGTATTTGAGCCCTGCTTTGAACTCTTTAGTCTCCTGGGAAACTTGGCACCAGCCCTCGCTGATTATGGCTTTTCCACCTCTGTGTTGGTCCTTTTCAGGTACATGAGAGCTACAGGTGGCTCCTCCAGGGTGATGTGTGACAATGTGCCAGGCCTGGTGAGCCGCCAGCGGCAGCTGTGCCACCGACACCCAGATGTGATGCGTGCCATTGGCCTAGGCGTGGCCGAGTGGACTGCAGAGTGTCAGCACCAGTTCCGCCAGCACCGCTGGAACTGCAACACCCTGGACAGAGATCACAGCCTCTTCGGCAGGGTCCTGCTCCGAAGTAAGTCTCCTGCCTTCGTGCAGCTCCATGGGCTGTCCTCTCACACACAAGTCCCTCACTTGGTCTTCAAAGTCCCTGCCCACCTTTTCTTGCATTTAATTAGTAAGAAGTTTGTTCTTTTTGGTCCCTGTTTTGTAGATGAGGACTAGAGAAGTCAAGGAACGTGCCTAAAGTTTTGGAGGAGGCCAGTCACGGGTTAGGATATAGTGCCCCAGGCTGGTGTCTTTTTGCTCTTTGCGGTGTCCATCCATATCCTGTCACAACCCTGCCTGTCCCTCCAGAATCAGATTTTGTCTCCAGGAGAAAGGAGGAAGCAGCCATAGGGCCCTCTTGACTTTTTTTTTTTTTTTTTTTTTTTTTTTTTTGGTAACAATTTTCTTTATGTTTTTATTTATTTTTGAGATGGGGGGAAAGGGGCAGAGAGGAGGTGGGGGACAGAGGATCTGAAGTTGGCTCTGAGCGGACAGCAGAGAGTCCCATGTGGGGCTTGAACTCACGAACTGTGTGATCATGACCTGAGCTAAAGGCAGACACTTAACTGACTGAGCCACCCAGGCACCCCTCTTTTGACTTTTTTTATTCTTTCTAGGACTTGAAACTTCTAGAGGATTTGAGCAGATAAGGGTGGAATACTCAAAATTTTTTTCAACCAAAAAATATTTCAAAAAACACATGTGCTTATTAAGAAGCAGAGACAAATCTCTGCTCACACCTTTCACCTCCTATTCAGCTACTCAGCTTTGAGTCACTCTGTGTCTAAATTCAACACTTTTCCCCAGTAGATTATATATTCTGCATGGTAGGGACTAGCCTCTGTTCTCTGCACTTGCTTGATGCCTTGTGTGTTACAGACACCATTCATTCATTGAATGGTTGAATGAATGGATGAACTCATTGTGAGCACATGTTGTTTTTCAGGCACATTTTAGGCAGAATAGTATTTATGGTGGATAGGAGTGAGAAATATGAATACACAGTTTTCAAGCATACATGTTTGTTTTTCTGTTTTACTTAGAAGGAACATTAAACACTATCTAATTACATAACAAATTTCTTAAAAGTTCTGAATATGGGAAGTAGCTGGTATAAAAATCAAAGCAAACTAACTGAAAATCAGATTTCAGTTACCCAAAAATACCCATCCCTTAAGCTGGCATTAGCATTCTTCAAGAAGTAGCATGGCCCATTTGCTACTGGAAATCTGACTGAAAACACAACAGTTCATGTGCGAACCCCAGAAACAGGAAACTACACTTGTTTTTGCGCCCC